AGAGGTTGCTGTCCTCTGAAGATGCCGGCCACAGAGACTGGCAAAACGTCAGGAAGAACAACCTTCAGGACACGGCCAAAGAGCCCGAAAAACCCAGAACAACCATTTACTAAATTCCCAGCAAGGCTAACCTGGACAAGTGAAGAAAAAGAAAAACAGTAATTCTTTGGAGCTGAGATAAGGAGGTTGGTGAATTCCCCAAATGTCATCTCTCTACGTCTGTTCAATATACACGAGGACTCTTTGACCTAAGGGAGCCTTTTCTGCCAACTTCACTTCCTTCTCTAACCTCTTGTCCTAAAAGAAAAACATGGTGACCTCATTGTTTTGAGTGTTTTTTTTTTAAAAATACAGGTTTTAGACTAAAAACTCAAAAGCCTTCAGCAGCCTTTGTGTCCAAGGAGAAAACCCTGGAAAGCATGTATGCATTCTATATATATGTACATCTACATATGCATTCCGCTCCAAACAAACAATGTGCTCTCTATTCATTTTTGTAACCCCTATTGATTTATTTTAAATTAAACCAATGAAAACTGGCTGTGCAATCCATTTCTGAAAATCAGAGGTGCTGCTTCAAGGACAGTTTTAGTTTTTGCTAATCTTGGTGCTATTTCAACTTATTAACTAATTACTATTTGGGAATCAGTTTTGTTTTGGCTTAAAACTGCCGTTCTGGGCCTCCACTGTATTTTAATTGGACCGGGACGTCATTAATCTATGTATTGACTTCCTGGAACATGACTTCCACATTGACTGGACTGTTTGTTATTTCTGATGGCTTGTTGCGGTTGCAAACCGGTGAGTCTTGGATGCCTGAACAGCCCCCAACCATTGAGGTATGTAAAAGAAAAGGATAAACAGTCCAGTCAACACAGAAGTCATTTACTGAGAAGTAAATACAGTGATTAATGACTACCTTATCCAATTAAGTCAGAAAGGCAGAGCGATGTTAAGGAAAAACAAAAACAGCAAGCAGCCACTAATTAGCAAATAAATTAAACTTTTTTTAAAAAAATCACACTAAATCTAACTGAAAAAAGTATCCCTGAAGCCATGTCATTGATTTCTGATGGTTTTTTTTTTTTGGGGGGGGGGAAGCTGGGATTGTCAGCCAAAATAAAAGTGGCATCTTTGGTGCTTCCAGATCGCCCACCCCAACTTAAAACTATGTATTTCATGAGAGTTCCTAACACAGCATGTATTAAAAGTTTTAAAGCAAAACACTTCGGCTTTAAACTTTGAAGAAGCTCGAAGCAGAAACATTTGGCTTTAGAACTTCTAATACATCCGTTAGACAAATACTGCACCCTGTGCCTCTCACCCAGCCATCTAGTACTTAACAGCCTGGCACAGCTCCAAAGCCTGTCTTCTCCTTCATTAATAGATGGTGACTTGATAAATAAGTCTCAATATTTCCCGATAAACAAGCCTCCAACCCTCTCAGTCCAGACATCTGGTAGAGGGGTTGGATGCCTTTGTACAGCTTCCATTGAGACAGAAACCTTCCCCCAAGTAAAAGCGCAAAGACGAGAAACAGAGGACAAGGTGTGCCTACATGCATGGCTTTCTATGAATTTATCATGCTCCATGGGTCCCAGGATTCTTGCAAAGCTCCTCATGGTCTCATACAGATCTTGAACCTCCTTTGGGTACCTCCTTTCCAGAACTGTAAGAAAGACGTGGACATGGGCAAAATACATGCTTAGCTGGATATAGAGAACAGAGGGAAGAAGACACTGATCAGAGCTTGGAAAAATGTCCTGGAATCACACGGCCAGCTTAGTCAGCTTAGACAACACCATCCAGCATTTTATTTTATTTTTTTTAAAGGGAAGCTTTTCAAAACTCTCATGGCAACAGAACAGACAGGAATATAACAGACTTAAAAAAGTAAAGGTTCCCCTTGACATTTTTTTAGTCCAGTCGTGTCCGACTCTAGGGGGCAGTGCTCATCCCATTTTCAAGCCATAGAGCCAGCGTTTGTCCAAAGACAGTTTCCGTTGTCACGTGGCCAGCGTGCCTAGGGAACGCCGTTTTATCTTCCCACCGGGGGGGTACCTATTTACCTACTCGCATTTATATGTTTTCGAACTGCTAGGTTGGCGAGGAGCTGCGAGAAAGCGACAGGAGCTCACTCCGTCGCGTGGATTCGATCTTACGACTGCTGGTCTTCTAACCCTGCAGCACAGGCTTCTGCGATTTAGCCCGCAGAGCCACCACTTAGTCATATTTAATCTTGGGCAGAGACACGCTACAGATACTGCCAAAGGAGTGTTGCATTTTGCCAGTGATCATCAGCCCCAAATCCCTTCTCTCTTGCAGTCCCATAATTCTGTTACCCATGACCAGTATCTCTACCTTTTTAAAAAATTAACTCATTGTCCGCTCTTATGTGGGGCTCCTAGAAGGTTTCTGCTAAAGGGGCAGACCAAGTCCTGCGTCTATTTATTTATTTATTTATTTAATTTATATGCCGCCCATTCTACCCAAAGATAAAACGATTAAAATACAATTAAAATAGATACTCTAAAAATTACCATCAGAAACACACAGATTCTGGCTTCAGAAGTGCTGCTCTTTCAAATATACTTAGATCATAAGCATTTAATGTACCAGCTCTTCTGTTCTGTCCCCCTAAAGACAATTTCACAGGTAATAAAGGAGTCGTCACTTGTTTCAGATGGATTTTTACCTTGACAGTCTGGCAGTTAAGACAAATTACTGAGGTACTCACTCTGAAACTTTCTGAGATTAATGAGTCCATGGTCCCTTATAATTCTGGAATCAGAAAGGAACAGTCTAAATTAGGAGCACATCTACCTATGAAGAACGATATTGCAGCAAAAAAGCTATACAGTATACAGAAAATGCAGGGTGTCCTCCACATAAATTTTTAGGAAAGGCTGAGCAAACATCTGTGAGGGCTAGTTAAGACACCGATTAGCTTGCTGGGCTGGACCAATACGTATCCATGCCCTTCTAACATGTGACTAGAGTTTTGAGGTGGCAACACAGACTCCGGCCCTTGAAATCAGGAACAGAAAATGCAGTTTGAACATTCTCAACTCAGTTTTTAAAAAAATCAAGAACAAAACTCCCAGTAAAGAATTAGCCGTGTCAGGGAGAGAGAGACTGTATCCTTTACCCTTTTCCTGTTCTTCTGGTTGTCTGCCCAAAGGGAATTTTCCTGGGCCAAAATGGGATGGCCACCTCACTTGGCCTCAAACAAGACTCCAAAGAGGTGCCCAGACCAATCAAGTTTGGGCACGACCCACTCTTACGAGCTTTTTTATTTGGCCTGGCAACACTGCAATATGATTTTACCCAAAGTTTGGTACTCTGAAACTTACTGTCAGTCCCACTTAGTAATCATCAAACTTTCTGGGACCCTGCCCTGCTTGTAGTTCTCATGCAGTCATCTCCATTCCTCTGCCTCCTCTCGTCCCATGCCCCGTGCTCTGCTTCGCCTTTTTCTCCTGGGCCCCAGTTACAGTGGTCGTCTTTAACCCACCCACTCCCAACCTGCATACCTTGCAGCACATTCACTTACTGAGCTAAATGTTATGCCTGTCTCCCCATTATTTATTTGCCAGATTTGTACACTGCCTTTTTATGACTATATAGAAGGCGATTCATCTCTTAAAACAATGCTTTACAATCTTACAGAACTTGAGCCGAAGGGGACAGTGAGAGAACAGGAAAGCCATCTCATTCATTCTTGTTGTCTCTGCCTTTATCCTGGGCTTTAACTGGAAAGAAGGGGAAGCAAGCTCGAAGCTTTCCTATAAATCAACTAGCAGGGATCTGGGAGAGGCAGAAAATTCAAGGTGCGTTAACCACCTTTAATGACGCATCTCAGCCTGAAAGACATATTTGAAAAACATTGGGGCATTCTATGTTGTGGGTTTTCCAGGCTGTTTGGCCGTGTTCTTCAGGTTTTTCTTCCTAACATTTCACTCTGTGGCTGGCATCTGCAGAGGACAAGAGTCAGAACTCTGTGCTCTGTTGCAGTTTGTTGGATAGTTGAGTATTTATAGCTGTGGGAACAGCTTTTGTCCTTTTCAGGAGTTTGGGTGATTATGGTGACCAGTGTGTTTATGTTGTGGGTGAATTGTTGTGATAAGGGGGAGAGATGATCTGTCACTGTGATTGATGGGTGTCGTTAGCTGGTCTTTTGTGTGCAGTGATCATTGGTCCTTGTGGCTGGGTAGAGTTTGTTGACCTTTTGCAGGCTGTATTTTTCAGTGCTGGTAGCCAGGCTTTGTTGAGTTTTAAACTTTCTTCTTTTTTTGTTGCAGCTGTGCTGGTGTTTGGGGATTTCAATGGCTTCCCTGTGCAGTCTAACATAATGATTGCTGGTGCTGTCCAGCACTTCAGTATTTTGAAATAGAATTTCATATCCAGCTTGTTTTAGGGCATGTTCAACTACTGCCGATTTTTAGCTACTGCCGGTTGTTTTAGTCTGCAGTGTCTCTCATGTTCTTTGATTCTGGTGTGGATGCTGCATTTTGTGGTTCCAATATATACCTGTCCACAACTGCAAGGTATCCAGTATATTCCTGCAGTGGTGAGGGGGTCCCTTTTGTCCTTTGCTGACCATAACATTTGTATTTTTGTGGTTGGCCTGAATACTGTTTGCAGGTTGTGTTTTTTCAAAAGTTTCTCCATGAGGTCTTTGACCCCTTTGATATATGGCAGAAATATTTTATTTGTGGGTGGCTGTTTTTCTTCTTCAGTTTGGTGTTGTTTTCTTGGTTTGATAGCTCTTTTGATTTCATTCTTGGAATAGCCATTTACTACCACAGTTGGTAGTTTGGTGCTGAGAAATTGAGCTTCACAGTTCCAATTTGCACGGCCCACCAGTGTTTTGATTATGCCTCTTTTTTGTCGTGGGTGGTGGCTGGAGTTCTTGTGTAGGTACCGGTCTGTGTGGGTGGGTTTTCTGTAGACCTGTTGTTCCAATCGGAGGTCAGTTTTGCGTATGACCATGACATCTAAGAAAGGGAGTTGGACCTCTATTTCTTTTTCCATGGTGAATTGTATATTTGGGTGGATGCTGTTGAGATGGTTTAGAAATTCTTCCAGTTTTTCTTCACTGTGGTTCCAAATTGCAAAGGTGTCATCCACATATCAGAACCAGACTGCGGGTGTGAAGGGTGCCGAAGCCCAGGCCTGTTTTCTGAGATGTTCCATGAAGAAGTTTGCTATAACTGGGCTGAAGGGGCTCCCAATGGCCACTCCATCTTTCTCTGTTCATAGAACTTGTTATCTTACTGAAAGTAGCTGGTCGTTAGGCAGTGTTGGAAAAGGGCCTTGATGTATTCTGGAAAGATCTGCTGAAGGAGTGTCAGAGTGTCCTTTATCAGTACCTTGATGTATAAGAGAACTGGGGCATTCTCTTCAACAGAGTCACTAACTAACTCTACAAAGAGACAGGCAGTTTTGATTGAACAAATGACACCAACTGTTAATTAACTAACTTGCCAAGAGCACTTTATTTGTCGCGTGCCTTCAGAGTGTGTATTCATCGTGCAAAAAGTCACTATATGAATGCATGCACTGATGCATGTATTGCTGACATGCAGTAACTGGAGACTGTAATTAAGAATGTGGATATCTGTCTGTACATGTGTACAGTTGGGCAGTTCATAGGTTGCCTCCTACTGCTCGTACCTATCCTTGGGTTTCTAGTGTGGTACAACCTTTCCACCATGAGACACAGAGTTACAGCAGGCTAGCAGGAATTTATTGCTTAATTATTTGGGGGAAGAAACTGTGAACAGACTTAGCGACAGAAAACAACAATAACCCAGTTTCGGTTTCCTTGTGGATCAACCAACTTTATGCCCTCCAGATGCAATGGACTATATACCCCATCATCCCCTGCCAGCACAGTACCATTTGTTTCCTCTGGTCCCACAGAAATGGATCAGATCCATTGGCAAGCAACACAGCCTCTCTCCTTTCACATCTACGTCCATCTTTACAATTGCATGCTTCATTTGGGAAAAGTTAGAAAACGAGTAGGGCACTTACTTTTTCCTTCGCTGCCTCTCCTTCAGTCTAGAGTGATAAATTCCTACAACTGCAATCTTTAAAGCTGTGGAAGTTGGAGCAGGGAGAGAAGAGAAAAGGAATAAAATCCTTCATAAAGCCATTAGCCCTTCTCCCAAACCCCCACCATATGTTTCCTTGACATGACAAAAAAGGGTAAAAAACCATGAATGTTGTTTAGATCCCCCCCCCTTACAGACCAACACAGTTCTCTTTGATTTGTATCTTTTAAACGTCTCCTTTTTAGCTACTCTTATAATATGCCATGATTATACTGGTTCAGACTGAACGGACGAAGAGTCTTGCCTAGAGAGCCTTTATCTAGTCCTGCCTTTATCTACTCTTGCCGTGGCCAACAAGGTGCCCTTGCTGGAAAACCCACAGGCAGGACATGAGGGCATCTTTCTGCTTGAGTACCCCTTGAGAGGCACAGCACCCGTTGTTTATGGAGGTCATATGTGGCCAACAGGACTAGTAATGGTGGCCAGCCATTGACACAGGCTTCATGAATGGCCTTATGATCCTCCATGGTGCAGTGTATAATTAAACAGTAGCTAAGTAGCTATAAGGGAGGACGGGAGAGAGAAAGATTGAGAGAGAAGAGATGTGGTGTCAGGAACGGTTGTAGCTCTGCTATGTTTTAAAAAAAATCAAAATGTGTACCCTTGCAACATGGGTCTGTACTGATGTAGTTCCCAAGATGAACACTGGACATGTGCAACAAGCCTAAAGCTACTATGCAGTTTTTTTAAAGAAACACGCAACTTAGGATGTATTGTTTGTTAATAGCTAGGAAAGGGAGAAAATGTTTCAGACCAAGGTTATTATGTTTTTCTAATCTTTCAAGACATGAAACTCACCATGTAAGAGGTCTGAGTCATCCTCCACAAAATCTATATCTCTCAAATCCCACTCAGCGTAATTGTCAAACTCCTGCGGAAAGCAGACAGAAGAAAAAGGGTAGGAAGTCTCCAGTTCATATTCAAGAACCGTCGTGCAACATAAAAACACAGATGATGGGAGAAATAGCAGGGAGCTTAGCGACAAGTTTTTAATTCCCAGAATTGTTCAGGTAGCCTCAGGCCTCAACCACCCAAGACAGCTCCAGGGCTGAAACAGACCCGATCTATTATGTTGTACATTCCTTTTATGTCAGGAACCTCCCGCAGGTTGAAAATGCCTCTAAGCTTCCAGGCAGTGGAAACCCTTCTGGGTGATGTTTTCCCTGATCCACTAAAGGTACAGTGGTGCATCACACAACGATGTTAATTGGTTCCAAAAAAATCAACGTTGTGTGATGTAAACGTTGGATAACATGGTAGCAAAATAGAATCCTGATGATGTGAAAGCCAATGGCCAAGGTATCAAACATAGGACCCACAAGAGTACATTCTGAGCTTATCCTTCCAGTAAAAATTGGACCGTCCAATACATTTCAATGAGGAAAAATAAAAAAATCAGCAAAAATGAACGAAGACTCAGAACAACACCAAATTAAGTTTGCATACCTTTCACAAGCTGGACTATCGATGCCAAGCATTTAAAACAGTTTCCTAACAGTTTAAGACACTTTTAAATGAGGGAAAAGGGACATCGTTATGTGAAAATCCCCCATAGGAAACATCGCTGTGTGAGGCGGCAAATTGATCAGAAAAAGACATCGTTATGTGAATTCATCGTTGTGTGAGGCACTCGTTGTGCGAGGCACCACTGTATTTCAAAAGCGGACCCAATGATAGGACTGCAAACTCCCACACTGTTGTTTTTTCCCCAAAGGTGTCTGATACGAAGGAAATGTCTGTCTTAGCCACATAAGCCAGTAACATGTGCCAGCTGAAACAAAAGGTACTTTTATGCCTTTGAGACACACGACTCTCTTTTTTCAGCTGCCTGATCGAGGGGGCAAAGTTAGAAGAACGGTGCCCTTTTTCTGCTTTAAAACAGTTACAGTGCTTCGCCCCTGCTTTGATGATGGTTTTAATGTGCTCTCATGTTTTTAAACTACCTCTAGGGGTCAGTAGAGTTCTGTTTCCACAGTTAACCAATGTACTGCACTGTACAGTTAACCAAGATGCTGGCCTGATCCACTTCTCAGAGTACATTATTTCAGTGTTATCCAAGCGACCATTCTAAAATGTTTCCCAGCACAATTAAATGTGTGGTGTTTACAGAAAAAAGTTTTGGACAGTTTGGGGTGAGATTATTTGCAAGCTGTCTGCATGTGTCTGCCCACCCATTAGGATCTTCTGAGGCCTTGTTCTTTATCTTTTTGCCTTTGAAAGATACAGCCGGCCAGAAAGCTGGCAGGGCCTCCTCGGTACCAGCACAAAGGGTGTGGCATGCTTAGCCTTTTAATTTAAGTGAAAGTTTTGTATTTCACCAAGTATACTTCAGGTTCCCCCCCTTTTGGGCTATGAATAGTTTTAGTGTTGCTTCACTTTCCCTCTCAGTTTGTACAGTGGTGGCTCGCTTAGTGACGTTAATCCGTTCCAGGAAAAACGTCGTTAAGGGATTTCGTCGCTAAGCGATTTTTAAAAGCCCATAGAAACACATTAAAACGTGTTTAATGCGTTCCTATGGGCTTAAAAACTGACCTTA